AAGGTTAGCTACGATTGAGTCTCGACTGTACTCCGCTTTCCCACCCCAAACTTTAGCCTAAGAATCAACAGAAAACCCCCCAAAAATAGAACTAACAACCGAAATATTCTGTGTACTTTTCGGATGTTCTTTAGATGAGAAAGAGAGAGAGCGGCGCCTTGTTTACGCTGCGATTTGTTGACTTATCGCTGGGGAAAGGCAATATTGCCACCGATTTAACGATCGGGGAGTTGGCACGGCCAGGGCTGGGATGTCGGCCGATGCTGCAGTGAAACATTCTCAGGCTGATAATACCAGGCGGTGCCAGTTAATTCTAGAAAAACTAGCAAACGATATGCGGCAGAGAAGCGGCTCCCCAATGTAACGGCGCTTGCTGCAGCTTGTGGAACTTATCCTGGCAGAGACTTTTGGCTGGGTGGCTGCCTGCTGCCTGTTGTCCAAACTCTTTGGGGGAGCAGCAAGTGGCATTAGCAGACAGACAGACACAATGATGGTGCTGGTGGCACGTTTCACACACTCATAATCAGCTGGCTATACTAATAGACTAGAACGCTGAACGATTTTCTGATAAGCCCGCAATAAGATGAGCGGCAGAGAGGTCTACGAGTGGACTGTGGAACCCAAGTGGCTGAGAGAGGGAGAGAGGCGGAGGTGTGGAAGGAGATCTTTGCTGGATGCGCATCAATTTTTAGCAGAAAAGTGCGACTTGAGCGAGTAGTTGGCTTAGTACTTGTCTATTTTTGGCAGGGTACGGTACGGTGCTGCGAGAAAAACTACAAATCTCAACGCTGCCAGGAAAATAGACACAAAACCAAAAACTTTGTCAGTTCGAGTCCGCGAAATTGCATTGAGCAGATAAGGGACAGAGAGACAGACAGACAAATTCCTCTCCCGGACTTGGCAATAGAAGTGACACAACAAAATCCACTGATAGATCTTGTTGAGGTTTCCAGCTTTCAGCTTCCAGTCAGTGCAATTCGTGCGGCCCCAAACGGCAGGTGTCTATCCTCCCCTCAATCCTGTTCCAATTCCAATTAGGTTCCAAAAAATTATGTGCTAATTTTGTTGGCACTTTTTTGCAACCACTCAGCCAACAGTTCACTTCAGCATACCCCAAGTTCAACGTAGTGCCAGAAATCTTCTTGCAGCGGCATGCCTGATACGGAGATCATTGTGACCAATGCCGGCGAGCCCTCCACAAAGGCCAGCTTGATCGTTGTCTCGAATCGTTTGCCCTTTGTGCTCATTCGCAATGCGGCAACTGGGGAGCTGGAAAGGAAAGCCAGGTGAGTGATTAATACTATGAGAAATAAGTGATTAAAAAAGTGTCTGAGTGAAATTTCTACATCGAAATTTGTGTTACGTGTCGTCATTTTTCTTTACGTAATCGTAAGCGGAGAAAGGCTAAAACATGTTCTACAGGACTGTGCAAAATCTTTAGATGGAATTTTAGTTGGAAAACTTAAGGCTCATGTCCGAGTTGTTTTCGCTGTCGTTATTGAACAATTTTCAAGTTTGTCTACAATCTGTTGCCAGATTCAAGTCCGATTGGTTTTTAGTTTCAATCTAAAAGTTTTTCCCGACTTTCTACAATCTATTTGCCAGTGAAATTCTACATTAAGGTCAAGCAAATAGGGAAACAAATGAAAAATCAAATATTGCCACAAAATTAAACGAAATTTTGATAGTTTTGCTTATCATTGTGCGGGTGGGAACTATTCTTTGCATTTCAAAAAGTCTCCAAGTAGCCCAAATTTCAAATTCGAAGTTCGAATCGCAGGCCTAGAATTTGCATTTGCCGATAAGCCGATCGCGTAGGCACTTCCAAGTCCCCTGCCCGTTAGACAAATCAAAACCCAACCACCTATAGAGCGAGATGAATGCTTCAGGGGTACATCTAGCTGCTGTTTCGACACGCCTGCCTCTGGTCTTATCAGCAACAGCACAGGGAACTTCAGCTCAGGCCTATTAGAAAACAAATTTTCGAAAAAAAAATTCAATAATAATGTCGGCCTGTTATCAGCGAGGTCCGTAACGCGTTTTTGAACCCATCCAACCCAGTTAAAGGGGTCAGCAGAAGTTGGCAAAGAATTGAACCTGACACTGAAAGGCAGCGGCCGGACGACACGTGAATTAAATGCGGGGGGAAAGGCAAGCAGCAATCCCGACCTATGCCAGAAAGCGAGGAGTAACAGAGGGAGTTTCGAGCCTTCGTTTTTTGGGTGCAGATCCGCTCCAGAGATCCCGCAGCTTGTTTACAATTCTCGCTGCGAAGTCGCTCATTTTATGGGTATATTTGTTATCAGCTATCAGCTTGGTGCTCTCTGCTCGCTGGTCACTGATCGGTGGCACCTCATAACAATTGTTTCTTTTTGCTTCTTTCAGTGCTGGTGGCCTCGTCACTGCTGTCTGTCCGGTGGTTATCAAAGGCAGCGGCCTGTGGGTGGGCTGGTCCGGCATTCACTTGGAGGATCCCAATGAGGCTATACCGGAGTCGAATCCAAATGATCAAACGCCCACAGCGGGCCTCAAGTCGGACCAAGTTGTCTCCGTGAACATCGATTCGAAGATCTTTGACAGCTACTACAATGGTTGCTGCAACAAGATGTTCTGGCCACTCTTCCACTCCATGCCGGGAAGGGCTAACTTCGGAGGGTCACACTGGACGGACTATGTAACGGTGAACAAGCATTTTGCGGTGCGCACGATCGAGGCGCTTGAGAAGTGTCTGGCCAAGAAGCAGGGCAGCGAGAAGAGTCCACCGATTGTGTGGATCCACGACTACCATTTGATGTTGGCTGCCAATTGGGTGCGCGAGCACGCGGAGGAGAAGAATCTGCCCTGCCGCTTGGCATTCTTTCTGCACATTCCCTTTCCGCCATGGGATATTTTCCGACTGCTGCCATGGTCCGATGAGATATTGCAGGTGTGTGACGCTCTCTCTCTCTCTCTCTCTCTGCTCCTCCTCTGTAGCTTTTATCCTATTTTTTAGGGCATGCTTGGCTGCGACTTGGTTGGCTTTCACATTCAGGACTATTGCCTGAACTTTGTGGACTGTTGTCAGCGCAGTCTCGGCTGTCGCGTGGATCGCAACAATCTGCTCGTGGAGCATGGCGGCCGCACCGTGCGCATTCGGCCGCTGCCCATTGGCATACCCTACGAGCGATTTGTGAACCTCGCACAAACGGCGCCCAAGGTGCTGAAAACCTCCAAGCAGCAGATCATTCTCGGCGTGGATCGTTTGGACTACACCAAGGGACTGGTGCATCGTTTGATGGCGTTTGAGGCGCTACTCCTCAAGTATCCGCAGCACAAGGAGAAGGTCAGTCTGCTGCAAATCTCCGTGCCTTCCCGCACAGACGTCAAGGAGTATCGTGAGCTGAAGGAGGAGGTCGATCAGCTGGTGGGACGCATCAACGGGCGCTTCACCACCGCCAATTGGGCGCCCATACGCTACATCTACGACTACGTCAGCCAGGATGAACTGGCGGCGCTGTATCGGGATGCAGCCGTGTGCCTAGTGACGCCGCTGCGTGATGGCATGAATCTGGTGGCCAAGGAATTTGTTGCCTGCCAAATAAATGATATTCCGGGCGTGCTAGTCATCTCGCCGTTCGCCGGCGCTGGGGAGATGATGCACGAGGCGCTGCTCTGCAATCCGTACGAGGTGAACGAGGCAGCCGAGGTCATACATCGTGCTCTGACCATGCCGGAGGATGAGCGCGCGCTGCGCATGGCGCGTTTGCGACGTCGCGAGGCCGAATGCGATGTCAGCCATTGGATGAGGTGCTTCCTGAAGGCTGTGGGCGCTCTCGAGATGGACGATGTGGGAACCACCACCATGCAACCTGTCTCTGTGGATGACTTTGATGACTACTTACTGAAGTGAGTGCCCCAGGACTTGGCAGAGTGTCTTCCAACTAATCCTCGTTTATCCCCCCACAGATACATCGGCTACAATCACAAGCTGGCGCTCCTGCTGGATTATGACGGTACTTTGGCGCCCATTGCGCCGCATCCGGATCTGGCCACACTGTCGCCCGAGATCAAAAACGTCCTCTACAAACTATCGAATCACTCGGATGTCTATGTGGCCGTTATTTCGGGCCGCAACGTGGACAATGTCAAGAAAATGGTCGGCATCGAGGGCATCACGTATGCGGGCAACCATGGACTGGAGATACTCCATCCGGATGGCAGCAAGTTCGTCCATCCCATGCCCATCGAGTATGAGAAGAAAGTCAGCGATCTTCTCAAGGCGCTGCAGGACTCGGTGTGCAAGGATGGCGCCTGGGTGGAGAACAAGGGAGCGCTGCTGACGTTCCACTATCGCGAGACGCCCAATCACTTGCGCGGCGACATGGTGGAAAAGGCGCGTTCGCTGATCGAGAAGTACGGCTTCCGGGCGACAGAGGCGCATTGCGCGCTAGAGGCACGTCCGCCTGTGCAGTGGAACAAGGGACGCGCCTCCATCTACATTCTACGCACATCTTTCGGCGTGGACTGGAACGAGCGCATCAAGATTATCTATGTGGGTGATGATCTTACCGATGAGGATGCCATGGTGGTACGTAAAGGGGAAGACTGCACGCTGAGGGTTTTGATTTAAAAATGGATTTTGCTTTTTTGCAGGCACTCAAGGGTATGGCGAGAACTTTCCGCATCACTTCGTCGGACATTGTCAAGACGGCAGCCGATCATCGCCTGCCCTCAACGGACTCTGTTTACACGCTACTCAAGTGGGTGGAGCGTCACTTTATGGGCCGCAAGGCGCGCGCCAATTCATTGACCTACAGGCCCACCAAGGGCGATGGCGTACAGATGCAAATGTCACTGGAGGTGGCCTCAACGGCAAACAATCTGGAGGTGTAATCTCACACATAGACACATCTCTCTGCTCTGATAAGTTCTAAGATTTTTAAGAATAAACACAAACACAAACAAGTAATTTACAATCGATTTGGGTCTCTCTCTCATTGTGTTTACTCTATGGAACGATCGCTGTTTAACTTAAACATAAAGCTGTGGGCTATGGGTCTAGTTGTGGGAGAGCACCAGCCAGGAGATGATAAAGAAGAACAGAAATATGGGATAGACAGCGAGCGGTTTGCGATGCGGCGGCTGACTCTGACCGAGGAAAATAAACGAAGCTGCAATGAAAAACAAAAACTACAGAACTACGCGCAGACTCTTGTTGGATTCTCCACTCACCATAGGTGGCCCAGGCAAAGCCCATTGTGGTAGTCACAAAACGCAAAAAGAAGAGCAACCGTGTCTGTACGGACAGCAGAATGATGCGACACACAATCAGGGATATGGCCACGGGCGTCAGACAATAGCCCAAAACGCACACAGACTGAAAGAATGAGCTGCAAAGGGAAACATAGAAGTCAAGTAAACACATGCCATGTCTATGGCACGAGTAAACACTGAGACACTCACATATTGCCACCTAGCAGCTTGGAGTTCAGTGTAACAATGGCCGCTCCTATCCAAACAATGACAAATACTTGGGCAAACTCGGGCCCGTTGTCGGACATGCTGTCCGCGGAAGAGGAGCCCTGCAGTATGGTGGCCATGAAGGTGCACAGCACCAACGGACCCCACAAGTCCCCTGAAAAGGCAAACGAGTAAGTCAATCAGTGAGTAATTTGCTTACGACTGCAGCCACTCTGCTGCTCTGCTGACGTACAATCACGCAACAGACTGGACTTCTCTTTCGGGTAGAGCACATGGTAGAACTTTACGCCCACGGCACGTATATCCCGCAGCACTGTCTCCCTGATGGGCTCATCCAGTGTGTTGTAGTCGGGCACTCCGTTTTGGGCTGTTGTCGTTGTGGTTCGTTTGCCCGGTATTGACATGTCACCCTCCAGAGAGGGCGACGGCGACGTGTTCACGTCCTCGAACATCTGCCAAATCAATGGAAATGTATTCCTCTTCAAGCTTATGACACTTTTCGTACTCACATCCAACTTGGCATCCATTTATTTGTGTTATTTTGTTAAATTACGTTTTCGTGGACAAAAAAAATGATAAGTCCGCCCAGCTGTTCAGTGTGACCGCGGAAATACCGAAAGACCCTCGCAAATATACTCTTGTATTTTCAAAATAAACTGTAAATATACAGTAAATCTTAAACAATTTTCCTCGACTTTGATGTTCTATTTGATAATACTAACTTGCAAAGACTTTCACCCCTGAAACAATAATTTAATCCGATTGTAGAATTAATTTTGCTGATTATAAATACTAATTTTTATTGAATTGTATACTTTAAAACCTTATAATTTACAAATTTGTATTTGAGCTTTTCATTAAAATCGCTCTTCTGGAAGCAAGGGAGCTTTGTCTACAGTATGTAAATGTATGTAAATTAATAAAAGAGACATGTATATTAACTGGTAACATTTAAGAAATTGAAAAATAGCGCGCACAACAAAAGAGAAAAAGAAATTATATTTTTTTCCCCAAAGGGAAAAAAGAGAGAAAAAAGAAAATAAGAATTAATTTCACCTCAAGGGGCGTGGTTACGCTACAAATTGAAAGCAACAAACGCAGCAGCAGAGCAGTGTAACCCCCCACAACTTTGAAAAGTTCGAAAATAAATCCTTTAATTTTGTTAGGTTTTTGGCAGGGTGAGTACACTTTTCGCAATAGTATGCTAGGGACTACCGCGTGTTCGGCAGGTTTAGACTAAAACTACGCCTAGTACAAGGAAATGGAGTCCTGTAATTCGGCTAACCACGTGAAAGACTCGTTCCTGGCGGAGGAGTTCGAATGGTTGCAAAAGTGGACTCACCTGAGCACTGAAATATTTGACAATGAAGCGAAGAAGTGCGACACGCAGCAATCCAAGTTGTTGCTGCACTTAGACTATGTGCAGAAGCAGTCAAGGAACTACAGGCAACAAAAACATGAACTGATTTCCGAAAATTTCTTCCTTATCAAGGAAATTAATGTTCTGGGGGATTTTGAAAAACAGAAGTCAGATTTGCGGCTTTATATCTCACAGAAGGACCAACTAACCGTTGAACGCGATGGTCTGCTGCTGCAAATAGAAGAGGCGAAGGCAAAGTGTGCAAATTTGCGTCAACAACTGGAGGAGCAAGGAAAAACGATGCAGGAGATGAACAACGCATTTCAGAGTGAACTATCGGAATGTGAGATTCACCGCACGGAGGCGCTCGATGCCCTGGAGCGTGAAGACGAAAAACATTTACGCGAAATGGATAGGCTGGAACAAAATCTACAAAACAAATATTCGGAGCTGAATACTTGCACTATATGTAAGCGCCCCTGGGATTCTGTTGGGGTGCATCGATTGGTTTCGCTGCGCTGTGGCCATGTCTTTGGCGACGCGTGCATTCGGGAGCATCTGCGCTATCGTAACTTCTGTTCAGTCTGTAACAGGAATGCATCTTTTGAAGAGCTTCGCTATATTTATGGCCGCAACGTCTTGCCATTTGAAACTTAACACTTGCATTTAATTTAGATTAATATTGATTGCTGTAAGACACAAATCATTTAATTAAAAGGCAAACAATAAGAGCGTTTTAGTTTTTCTTTTCTGCTCAGAAATCTTGCATGTGCACAGCGAAGTTTGTATACCCTTTCAGTACGCATGGAGAAATTACTTACGTTTGAGCGTGGTGAATAAGTTAGTTTTCCTCGCACAGCGTACAACGTCACCTTGTTAGTAGTGCCACCATGCGCTGGCATATCATATAAATTCTAGAGCCTGTACTTATCGTAATACCCTATGAAAGGGTAAGGCATAACGGTGCATACCACGGAACAAAAATAATATCCAACACTAGTCCTATCCCGTATGCCATTTTTTGAATTTTTCTTTTTTTTAGCGGCACAGTAACACTTCTTGTAAAATTATTTAGGGAACTGACACGAACTGGGACAGTAGAAGTAATTTGCCACAGAAATGGAGCGCTCTAATTCGACTGTGGAGATAGCTGGTCTAGTGGAAGAATCCGAATGGAGCACTGAAAAACTCGAACATGAAGCAAAGAAGTGCAAAGGAAAGCACTCCAAGTTGTTGCTGCATCTAGCTCACGTGGAGCATGAATCAAGTGACTTAAAGCAATGCGTGCAGGAGCTGGCTGAAACGAATGATCGCTTGAAGGTCGAAATTCCTGTAAATTTGCGTGAAATGTTCGAGAAGCAGACATATGAGAAACAGTTTGTGCAGCTGCAGAAGGAACAACTGACCATCGAACGGGATGGCCTGCTTTTGCAGTTGCAGCAGGAGAACGAGTGCTATGCACGTGTGCTTCAACAATTGGAGCAGCAAAGCAAGACAATGACGCAGATGAACAACGAGTATCAGCGGGAGATTGCCGAGTGCCAAAAGCGGCGTGGAGAAACTCATCTTGCGCTGAAGCAGCAGGAGCGCAACCATTCTCTCCATATGGAAAAGCTTAAGCAGAGGGTGCTCGACAAGAATCTGGAGGACATCACTTGCTCCATTTGTCTGAGCGCCTGGCAGGCGTCTGGCGCACACCGCCTGGTTTCGCTAGCCTGTGGCCATCTCTTTGGCGACGAATGCATCAGGGCCTGCTTGGATCGTGGGCCCGAGTGTCCCATTTGCAGGAAGCATGCAGACCACGCTGCACTACGCTACATCAACCTGTAATACATTTCTATATTCCCCTAAATTTATGTTTTCTTTTCTTTGAATTGGGGCGCATTTTTTCGTCCCGAGATATGGCAATACTGGTCGGGGCAATGTTTTGTCCGAGCATGGTTTGGCCACACTGTGGCAAACAGCTGATTGGCAAAAAAAAAGAACTCCAAATTCCGAAACAAATGAAAAAATTATAGAAACGATGATATAGACGATTGCTTAAAGTGCATCCGAATGCGAAAAGACACCAGCCGCGGGCTACGGACAAAATGCAGCGGAAGCAGCCGAACGAGCCGACATGCAGCACCGCCTTCGAGGAGGCGGAACAGACGCCTACGCCGCCGCAGCAGCACCTCGGTCTCAGCACAAAATTGGCGCTGCGGCGTCTGTACGAGGAAATTGAAAAGGTGCTGCTGGAGCATGAGCAGCAGTATGGGGCGGAGAGGTGAGTAGGAGACAAAGACCGAGACAGCTAGATAACTTTTTTAACAGGCAAATTTGTTTTCAGCTCGTATCGAAAGTTGCGTGCGGCATTCGTGAAGCGCTATGACAGTCCATTGGGTTGGCTGTCGATTGGCACCAGTTTGCTGACCAGCGTGGCGCTGCTTATCACCGGCATGTTGTGGCCCGCGATCTGTTTGCTGGCTATCTTATCGCTGGATTTTTTCGTCGTCATCCGGGAGAACAATTTGCGGCGCACCGAGATCTACCGCAAGACGCGCCACGCCCTCTCGGAGCTGCAGCTTGCGGAGCAGCATTTCAGCGACGATTGGCAGGCATCCAATTATCCGCACCTGAGCAATCCCATGTCGCCCTGTGTCTCACTGCAATGGACGTACCGCGACGGCATTCTAGTCAATCTGCCATGGGCGCTGCTGGTGCGCGGCGATTGCATTGTGCTGCGACCAGGACACATATCGCCCGGCCCCTGCCATGTGCTCGATACCAACAAGTTCTTCGATGCGAATGAGATTTACGGTGCAGCGCCCATGGGCGATCCACCAGTCAAGCCAATGGCACGTCCCCCGCTGCCCAATCTTGTGTGCTGCCTGGAGAGTACGCCCTATCTGGAGAACCTCAGCATTTGCCTAAAGAACTCACTGAAGCGGCCGCCAACAATCTACAATCAGCAGCGCTATCTGGTAGGGCAGAAGCTCCCAACATTAACATTTAAACATTTTGTTTATCTTCCTTCCAGCTGGTGACCAAATACATTCAACAATGGGGCTTCATTAGTGCTTTGAGCATTACCCTCGTGTCGGGCCTGTTGCGCCTGCATGGCTATGGCCTGCCCACCGATGAGCAGCACAATTGGCGCTTTGTGCTGATCGAGTCGCCAGCTGCTGCCATAATTCCGCTGCTGCCGCTGATCTTTCCGCTCATGTGGATCTCCATGAATCTGTGGGGCATTGCCCGCTTGCAGTGCTTCCTCAAGACGCCGCAGGTGGCCAGCGAGAGGAGTCCCACAAAGTCGTTTGAAGAGGATCTGGACTCTCCCTCCTACAACTACGAGAACATATCAATGCTGCGCTCGAATGTGCTGCGCATTTGGATGCAATTGTGGCGCGGCGACAGCGAGCTGCTACCCCGTTCGGCCAATCTGGTGCAAGTGCTGGGCTCCATATCCGCGCTCTGCTGTGTGGACAAAAAGGGCATTCTGTCATGGCCCAATCCCACGGCCGAGAAGGTTTTCTTTCTGCACAACACGGACGAGGAGGCCAACGATGATGGTGCGCGCAGTCAGGCGTCCACGCAGAGCGAAAGCGATGATGTGCCCATTGTGGATGAGGATCACAAGGAGCGTGGCATTGTGGCGGAAGTGCTGGACCTCACACACGATCAGCATTGCCCCTTTCGACTGGAGTTCGATGATCACGAGTGGAAGGCGCACATCAAGTCACTGAAGCCGCTGGGTGGGTGCTGCAAAAACCCACTTTATCCTCGCTTTATTCACTCGGAAATTGCATTGCAGGTCTGGCCATCTTGCTCAACACCTGTTCCCCGCTCACCCATGAGCACTACGCACAGTTTTGTGGACATGTGACGGCCGTCGCGATGCTCGACAAAGATTTGGTGCCTGTTACAAATCGGTATGCGTATGCACTCATTGAATCCAGTAAAAGCTTTTTGCATGGGTACGTAGTTCCCTTCTCATCTCCCATCTCTCACTCACACCTTTTTAAGTTATTTGTTTGCCCAAACAATACATAAAATATATCTATATATATGATAAATGATTTTCTGCCACACCAAAAGCCAGCCCAGCGATTAGTTTTTCTTCGTTTATTTTTGATTTTGTTGACACCCATTGGACGTATCCCCTCCAGAGCGATTGGTAAAGTTTTTGATTGTAAGAAAGAAAGTGTAAAAACTGAAGCTAGTTTATGATAATTATTAACAAATAATCTTTGCAAATTCGAAGCTAATTCCATTGACATTTACTTTTGTTTACTGATAAATCCACACTCAACCCCTTTTGTCATTAAAATTAAATTCCAATTCGCTTGCCTGCCTGCCTGCATGCTCTCACGCACCACCGCCGCTGCCTCTTGCATGCAGCTTTAACCAGTTCGTGGCCACTATTAATAGCTTCTCTCTTCCCCCAGACGCTGCCTCTGCGAGTTGGCCAAGCAAATTGGCTTCACAAATCATGCCACGGATCGCTTTGCACTGGAGGGACAGCTGGCCAGCTACAGGCATTTGGTGAGCTCAAGGAAACACCATAAAGACACCCAACTAAAGGCATTTCTTATAGCAACCCGATGTGGTGCGTCGCGACATACGCTTTGCGCGGCAGCTGCAGCTTTCCTCCAAAGTAAAAGTGCCCTTTCCGCACTCTCTGTCCGTGGTGATGCGCGAGAACCCTGGCGGCTATTTGTCGCTGTTCACGCAGGGCACAGCGGACATTATACTGGACTGCTGTGATGACTTCTGGGATGGTCAGGACTTGCATCCATTGTCGCCGCAGGATCGCAAGCGAGCGCTGGACTTTTATCAGCGCAGCGCGCTCACCTCCTACTGCACAGCGTTTGCGTATCGGCCGCTGCGGCATGGCATACATGGAGCACTGAGTGGGCCGCAGCAGAGCGGCGGCGAGTGCTTGTACCTGGAGCTGCCGCCCGAGTCGAAGCTGCGCATGCAGCACGTGGACAAGCTGCACTGCGACTTCCAGGGCGGCCACCACGTGAAGCTCAGCCACAGCATCAGCACGGACTCGCTGCTGTATTCGGAGCACAAGGATGAAGACTGCAACGATGTGGAGGGTTGCTTCGAGATGCAATGTCATCAGGTGTTCATCGGCATGGTCACAATGCAGTACCAAGCGCAGAACGACATCGTGCGGCTGGTGGAGCGCCTCGAGCGTGCGTGCATTCGTTTCGTGCACTTTAGCAAGGAGAACGAGCTGCGTTCGCGTGTGTTTTCCGAGAAAATGGGCCTCGAGTCTGGCTGGAATTGTCACATTTCGCTGCTCAGCGAACCGGAGCCCGAAGCCGAGAAGGAGATGGACAAAGAGAAGACAAATACACCAAAAAATGCTGGTAAAAATCAAGCCACAACCACCACAGAACCAACTGAAACCACAGCCACAGCCACAGCCACAGCCACAGATTGTGCGGCACATAACATTCATCATCCTCCAAGTGCCAAAGTCATGTACATAACGCCACCCGAATCCGCACCTGCACCCGATCCTACAACCGAAACCGAACCCACCGCTGCTGACACCTCCTCCTCGTCCATTGCTAAACCCACTGATATTGTAGGTGATGCCCCCAGCGTAGCTCCAGCTATCAGTCATCTACTTGGGCCGCCCACCAATTTGGAGACTTCAAAAACGCTCAGCTCTTCGGCTCCAGGTGCCATATCCAACCCAGACGAGTGTAATCCACTCAATGCCACTCTCAGTTCGGATGGGGAAGCGGGCGGCAGTGGCGGGGACAACTCGGAGAGCTTGCAGCATGCAGAACCCGCAGGCGATGGCGAAATGGAGACCGAGACAGATTCCAATCGCCTCAAGCAGCGCCACTCGCTGGACTCCGCCATGGACGAGAACTGCCGCTCGCTGAGCACACTCACCGAGAGCACCGATCAGAGTGCGCCCATCAATTTTGACATGTCCAATCGCGCCAAGCTGCCGCGCGGCATTGAGAATATTCGCCCGCACCTGGAGCAGGTGGACAATGTGCCGCTGCAGGTGTCGCTCTTCACGGACTGCTCCGCGGAGGCCACTCGGCAGATGCTCGACATAATGCAGTCCTACGGCGAGATTGTCGTCTGTCTGGGCAGCTCCGCGAGCAATGCCAATGCGGACATCTTTCTGCAGGCCGACTGCAGCATTGCCGTGGAGCCGCTCTATCCGCAGGTGTGTCAAGACGTTGACGCGTACACGGAGGCCAACATACAGCACAACAAGTGGCTGTGGCAGCGGCAGGCGGACAAGGGCAAGGCCTCCAACGACGATGAGCAGCTGCTGGAGTGCGGCCTCCATGGCGCTGGGGCGCGTGCCATGCAGTCGCCGGCGCACACCGTCTCCCCGCTGTATCTAAGTCGGCTGCTCAATTCGCTGCCCTGCTCGATAGCCGTCTGCCGGGACGACCCACTTTCGCTGGTGGCCATAATTGAGCTGTCACGCCGCTTCTCGCTGGGTCTGTGGAATTGCATACAGTATTGGGCCTGCTGTGCGGGCAGCATATCCATTATGAATGTGCTCTGCGCGTGCCTCTCACTGCCGCCCTTACTCACGCCGCTGCTCTCCATCTATCTGATGTCGGTGCCCGTGCCGCTGATTGCCATCTCGCTGGCCCACATCGATGTGGATCCCAAGATTATGAATCGAGCGACGAGCAAGAAGCAAACGGACTACGATTCGCGAGCTTTTGCATTTGTTATGTGGTGCTATGGCTGCAAGTTTCTTGTGCCCATTATAACGCTGGTGAGTTGAGGATTTTGCGCATGCTTCGGGGGAGTCTTCATTGTTCCTCTCTTGCAGCTCGTTACCTATTGGATGTGCTTGGCGCAGTCCAGCGTCAGCAGTTCGCTGCTCACTGCCGAAGAGCAGCTGCAGGTGGGCGACGACGACAGCGATGCCTTCCAGCCCGACAATGATGCGAATTTCCATCAATTCTTGTACCTTTCACGCAGCTGCGCCTTGCTGGCTATATTGCTGCATTTTGGTGAGGATCTTGCCTAGGCTCTGTCCCCCCTTTTGCTGTAACTTTATGTGTCTGCTTGCAGCCTGCATCTCCATTACATTTGTGCATCGCGATCATGCCATATGGCAGCGTAATCCCTTCACCAATCGCATTTGGGCGCTCACTTGTCTCGGTCTGCTGCTGTTCCACTTTGGCATTCTCTCGCTGCAACTGGCGCTGGATGACTTTCTGCAGCAGCAATTGCCGCAGTTGTGGCTGGCCATGCTGCTGCTCTTTGGCAGTGCGCTGCTTAGCTGGATTATCAGCGAGCTGGCCAAGTTTCAGGAGAACAAGTAAGCGAGAATCTTTTGACTTTAATTTGTGGCTAATTTATTTGTTTCTCCTTCCAGGGTTAATGCGCGCTATCAGCGTCGCGCGCGCTTGGATTTTGGCACCAAATTGGGCATGAATTCGCCCTTCTAGGCGGCCACGTCCAACCCTGTATATGGTTACGCTTCTTCAACGTCGTTTACTTAAACCCTTTAGATTAGCTATGCATTTGTTTTGATTCGTTTTTAGCTGCGGTTTTGTACTTTACTTTACGTTCATTCTCTCATCTAAAAAGTGTTTCCTAAGTGTTTATTTTTAGTCTTCGTGTGACACCCCCAAAGCCCCTCTAACATTTCCTAAAAGACTTTTGCAATTACCATATGAAATATATAACTAAATGTATATGTTTAAACAATCATTAAACAAGTAAAAGTAATGAGCATTTGGGTGTAAGTTTAACCAGAACTGGTTCCCGTTGGTTCTGCATTAAATTGAGTTGTGAACGAGCGACGACAACAGGCCAGAGCACGCCCCGAGGAGGTGCTAATGGGGGAAGACACGTTGCAAGAGGCAGCAACTGACCCACATCCAGCAGGAGAGCCTGACAAATATTTTTGTGTATTAAATTCCGATTAGAAATCTTTCAATTTTGAGGCGGAAGAGTGAGCAAATAGAAGCTAAATTCTGTGCACAATTCTGTGGGATGTAATTCTGGACAGGGAAACCCTTGCCTTTCGCAGCTCAAAAATGTTACTAATTAGCCAAATTTGTTGGCACACGCCTGGGGCAGGCAGCTAAACAGAGCCATGGATTGGAGTTACATTTCACATGGCTAGAGACCCATCCACATGCCCAAGAACTATGCGCAGGCAGAGAGGCTCTAACGGAAGATGTGATCAAAAATGTGGAGTAACAATTGATTAGCACCTGCCACACAGCAACGTCGACGAAATGAAAGTGCTGCTCGACTGCTGCCTGCTACCCGTACAAATCCCCAGTATATAGATCACTTCTAGTAGCACCTTTCTGAAACTGGGTCATGAAAAAACGAAATCACGAACTCTGCCACTGCCTGCAAATAAAACCAATCCATGGTTAGGTCTTTGTGGTATTCGAGAACTACGCGCGACGCGATACGGAGCTCCCCAATCGAGTGGATATGACGAGTGGATAGGGATAGTCCTTACATTTAGTGTGGAAGTGTGAAAATTCATAGTGAATCCTGAGCTACAGATAGCCACAAAACCCAACCCAATTCCTAGTCAATTATGGCGACTGCTTGGCTGCCACCGCTGGCGTGTCTTCTCCTTTGCCTGAGCTCTGTGCAGGTGCGCGCCTACTCCCAAGTGCTGATCAGCGGCGAGCAGGGACCGAGGATATTCAAGGCTCTCAATACGGATCTAATATTTCCCAAAACGTAAGTTTAGTTCGGGATTAAACCATTAAGAGAGACGCTGATTGATTTCCTTGCTGCAGCTTCAACTCCAGCGAGAATGTTTACTCCACCACGGAGGCGCCTGTGGCGACTTCAACGAGCACAACAACCGGAATGCCGCCCATACCCTACAATCACCAGTCCGAGGTGGTTGTGGTGACTCCCGGTTCCCCTGTGTTTGTCACACCTGTGGCAGCGAGCGAGGAGGAGGTGCTGCAGCCTGTAGAGACCAAAGAGGAGCAGCTGCAACCCGTAGCAAACGTGGAAGAGGTGCAGGAGCCACTCCAACCATTGGCGAGCATTGAAGGCGCCTCCACAGGTCGTGCCGTGGATTATCGTACTGCCTATCCCTTTGGACAGCTCTTAACGCCGCTGCTCAAGGGCCAGACGCAGACCCGCATCTATCCACAGGGCAGTCCCTCGTACTACTCCTCCTCCGCTGCAGCAGCAGCACGTAATCCCAGTCGCCCTAGGCCCTATAAGAAAGGTATGACGGAATCCTTGGACTTCTTAGACTCCTATTTGAACACTTCTTTTGGTTGATCTTTCCCCACAGGCATCAGCGATCGCTTCACGCCCGGTGAGAGCACCGCCGCTGGGCTGTTCAAGGGTCAGCACAAACACAATCATGATCACTCCCATGGCGGCAAGTTGGCCGCCAGCTCGAACTCAGTGCCCTCCTATGTGCCTCCCTCGGATGCGTATTCCTTTCCGCCGCTGAACACAAAGTATCCATCGCCCGCTCAGGATCCCAAAGCGGCGCTGCCCTCGGATACGGTGACCAGCTACTTGCCACCCGCTTCGGGTGGGCTGAGTAACGCGGGCTATGCCTATCCGGGTCCACCCATGCCCGCGTCCACGGGCTACAAATATCCTGGCCCACTGGCAGGTGGCAATGGAGACAAGGATGCGGCTGCCAGTTCCCCGAGCGCCGCAGCTCCTATCGCAGATGATGACCAGGGCAATGACGATGTGATTGGCGTGCTGCCCGCCAGTGCCATGGATAATCTGCCCACAAAGGATCAGGGTCAGGATCAGGGCAAGGATGCGGATGGAGGAGCTCCTCCAGACAGTGGCGGTGGGGATATGGGACCACCCGATGGCGGAGATGACGGCGGTGGCAACGATGATGGTGGAGCTTTGCCTGCACTCCACAATGATGGATCGCAGAGCAACGATGATCACAAGTACGATCCCAGCATGGAGTATGCGACGCCACCGCCTGGCTGGCTGGAATCACACCCGGAATCGGCGGCACCAAAGCCGGAGGATCACGATCATGGATATGATCATGATCACGATCACATACCGGATCATCCACATCCCGAACACGATCATCCGCATGGGCATTATCCGGGCCACTTTGATTATCCGCTTGCCTCGTACCCCGATGACACGTATCCGGAACTGCTCTACGATGATCATCCGCATCATCATCATCACGTTCACCATCCACCTCCTCCTCCTCCGCCACCACCACCACCACCACCACCACCGCCACCTCCTCCTCCACCACCGCCGCCGGCGCCAGAGCCACGTGTCAAGAAATACAGTTACTTCTACATTGGCCGCAAGCTCTGGTACATTCCGTTATACTTTACAGTGTGGTTCAGCTTTTACATTCTGTGGCTGATCATCAAGTCGATTGGCAGGCACAAGGTGAATCTGCCCAACCATTACGTGTCGCGGCGCAGTGCGCCTGACTACTTCACGGAGCAGGGGCGCGATGAATACATCAACAATCTGACGGTTAAGGTGCTCGAACACATAGATAGCTTCAAGCACAAATACTTGAACTGATAAGGGGACTCTAAAAACTATTTCTGGGCTAATAAAAAACAAAATTTAATATAACAATGAATTTTACTTTTGAGTTGGGCGCCGAGCACTGCTTGCTGACTATAGTCTATCGATAAGTCTAGTTTTGCCTTGGTATGTTTCTGTGCGACAGACCACAAACCATACTGCATACTGATCTTCTTGCGTTTTATGCAAATTTGTTCTGCAAGCAGACATAAAGAATTCAGGAAAACTAACCAGTCTTGTGGAGAATTGATTGATCAATTCAAGAAAATTATAGGTTAAGTGCTAAAAGTTCCAACTAACTGGTAATATTAATCAAAACATCAAAATCGAGGAAAATTATTCAAGATTTACGGTATATTTATGGTATTTTTAAAATTGAGAAGGAATATTTGAGTATATTTTTGAGGAAGCGGCATAATAAGTCCGCGGTCACACTGATTCTAAAAAAAATAAACGCAAAATTGTTTTTATTAACAATTTCTTGAAATTATTAAATTAATTAAGTTAAAACAGCACCTACTATAAAGCCGAGTTTCACTGCTACCTTGCTCAGGCCAGAGAGAGGCACAGAGACTGCCTGCACTGCCAGCTACCAACGACTGGCGCTGTCACTATTTTCGTTGTGCCACAATTTGTTTACATTTTTACTTGTACAAAAGTTACTTAAATAACTCTGCAAGATGTCGTACATGCTACCACATTTACACAATGGCTGGCAAGTGGACCAGGCCATACTCTCCGAGGAAGATCGTGTTGTGGTGAGTGTTTGCCGGTCAGGTTGTGCCTCTCCTCAAATCATTCACACTCTGCTCCACCTCCTCCACCCCTTAGGTCATACGCTTCGGTCACGATTGGGATCCCGCGTGTATGAAAATGGACGAGGTGATGTACAGCATTGCGGAAAAGGTGAAAAACTTTGCGGTCATCTATCTGGTGGACATCACCGAGGTGCCGGACTTTAACAAGATGTACGAGCTGTACGATCCCTGCACGGTGATGTTTTTCTTCCGCAACAAGCACATCATGATTGATTTGGGCACCGGCAACAACAACAAAATCAACTGGCCGCTGGAGGACAAGCAGGAGATGATTGACATTGTGGAGACGGTGTATCGAGGAGCGAGAAAGGGACGCGGTCTGGTCGTATCACCCAAGGATTACTCCACGAAGTATAGATATTAAGGAGGGACTAGGCTGAGCTTAGCTTAATGTTCGAGTATCCAACTTTAGGCATGACAAATTTACCTCAAATATAATCGAAATGCAACTTTTGTGTATATGTATTTTTCTTCTGGTTTATTTTGTTTCACTTGTCACATTTTTCTCATTAATATCGCTAACATTTACATCAATTTTCTGCTGTTTTTTGTTTTTCTTTTATATATATGTATAACATTTAACTAAGTTCTTTTTTTTTTTTGGTTTTTTAATAGCTCGTACATACGTTTTGTGTTAAAAGTTGTAACTCTTTCGTTAAAGTAATCCTTCTTTGTTTTGCATTAATATTTGTTTGCCTTTTTGTAATTTTAGTTCGATTTAGTGTCAAATGATATGCTGAAAATATGGAAATAATATTTAGCATGAAAATCAGCTCAAAAGTTAGTACAAAAGTATAAAAGAAAACGTCGCAAACGAATGTGAATTGAAGGATAAATTTTTTGAGGCTAGCAAATCTGCGCTTGAAATGCTTTTCTGCTTCATTTTTGCATTTCTTTTACATTTATTTTCTTTCTTCTTTTGTTTATTGTTCATTTAATACAACAGCTCAGTTTTTGTTGCATCCATTTATGCTTAGATTTAACAATTGGTTCCGCTACTCATTTATCTTAGACAAGTTTTAGTTTTTGTTTTCTTACTTTTTGCGCATTAAATATTGTATTTGTTGTATAATTAGCTACGTTATTAGTTTTTGTTTATATTTATGTGTATTTCAACGCTACAATTACAATATTTTCGAACCCCACTATCTGCTATCTTCAGCATTTAACCAACAATTAGATATTTGTTTTCGTTTCTTTCTATTTTTTGATATACTCGTTACAGTTTTTCCAATTCGCAACTTCCTAGGCGCTCGTACAAAATACCCTTTGGGTTTTGGTTTCTTCGTTTTTAAAAATACTCAAATAGGGCTGGCTTGTTCTCTATATGTTTATAGTGTTTCTGGTTGTTTGTATATAAATATATACTCCGTACTTATATGCATAGGAAAGGTACAAATTAGGCATCAGGCTGAGGCTTCAGGCATGTGAGAGAAAGTCTCTTAGAGTTTCGTTTTCTTCTAGCGGTTTTTGTTTTCTGTTTTTTTTTTTTTTTTGATAACATTTCAGTTCTATTATACAATAAATTGTTCAACTGTGTATTTTGATTTGACATTCCATTTTTGCTGCCACTTTTGTTTCCTTTTCTCTTACTTTCTCGGAGCAAATGCAATTTCATAGAAAAATAGAGATGCGTCGTAGGTGGGATGAGTTAGGAAATTGTTTATTTATATATGTATCTATATGTATATTCATTTTTTTCTGTAACACTACATTCTTGACAACAACTCTATTATAATACCAACAACAATTTTGTGTTCGAATAGGCCAGGGGCAGGGACAGACAGGGACAGACAGGGAAGGAAATGTGGAAAGACGTGAGAGTTCCGTTTAGGCTTCAGATCAATTGAAATGTTTTGCTTGTCGTGCATTCTATTTGTTTATACTAATTTACTGTTCAATACTTGAAGTATTTGGCTGCTGTTTAAGACACTAGAGAAGAGTTTTCATTCCATTTTGAGGCATAGAAATAGACACAGAGTTGGAGTTAGAGATTGGAGTGTGTATAGAAATATCTTTGTATAAACTTGAATCTCTTTCGTTTGTCCTGTGTCTATAGTTGGTGTGTGTGAAAATAAGTCCGATTACACATTCCTATTTAACAATAATAGACAACAGTCTCTAAGTACGAATACATTTTTGTTGTTCGCTGTTCGGGAGTAACTTTTGTCCCAAAAGACTAACTTACTGTCTAGCTGTGACTAAATGCGCTTAAACCTAATCTCCTGCCAACAACTCTTAATATTTATGCCTAAATACACTTCAATATAATCGTACTCGTACACGTCACGCGCCTCATGGCTGTCTGGCCCAGGAAATTGGCTGCCAGAACAGGCGACAGTGAAAACTTAACCCGAAACAGCAGAGAACAGGACAAAGGCTCGAGGAAGAATAGGAAAGAATTTGAATGGGTGTAAATGCCAAATATGTGTACAGAGAAGAAGGGATTAGGTAGAGAAACTTTGAAGAGATTTAAAGATGAGAAACTTAGGAAAGTTTAGCATAAATGTTAGCAGAATAAACCTGTGGGTCAGTGGTTATTCTTTTGCTACTTTTTCATAGAAATTTAATTGATATTTAATTGGATTGCTAGTTAGGCATTCGATTCTTGATGAATTAAAGATCAGTATAATGGAAGTATAAGTATGTAGAATAAATCTCTGGAATACTTGCTCTTCTTTTAATCAATTTTCAAAGAAATGTTGTGGAACTGAGGAAATGATTGATCAGAAAGTAAAGCCAGTTCTTTGAGCACAAATCCCGAAAGTAAATCAGAAATAATAACCTCAATCGATACGAACTTGTGCTAATATATGGCAACAAAAGTGTAAGAATGGTGGAAGAATATGTAAGTAGAAGTCTCAATCTCTAGAGTGCTCGTCCTGCCCCGCTCAGGAGTAGCTTTCACTGCACACCCTTGCATACATAAACGTCACTTTGCTAAGCTCTTAAATACTGTCCCGGTGCACGGAACTGCATGCGTAACAGCAGCGGATACCAACTGGGCTAGAAGAGTGTCTCCTTGGACCACTTTCTGGAAGTGCCGGGCAGGCTGGGATCGCGCTTATCATCGCCAGTTGAGGCCACAGTCTCCATGTTGTCATCATCCTCGTCTTCGTCGTCGTCGTTTGGCAGCCTGATGAGGGGAAGCTCTAGCATGACGGCGGTCGTCGCAGTTGCAGTCGTTGTGGAAGTTGCTCCTGCTGCTGCCACCTCATTGCTGGGCAGACTTAGGTTTGTGGCACTTTTGCTGATGCCAGCGACACTTCCCTTTCGTAATATTAGATCCTTGAGCGAGGAGGGCACACAAATGCTTTGCGGTCTTGTGGCTATCAGCGAGTCGGACTTGGAGGAGGGGCAGGCATCGGGTTCGTGCACCAATCTACAGTTCTGTGGCAGTTGAGCTGGCTGCTGTGCCTGAGCCTCAGAGGGGGACTGGCTGCACGCATAGTTATTGTCCAAGCGAGGACTTGTCGCAGCGCTGGCGTGACTGGGACTCGGCGTGGAGCGACCCACACTGATCACCGTGTTCATGCTGCTGTACTGCGTGTGCGTGTTGGACTCTCCGCCACCGTTGCCAGCTACTACCACAGCATCTAGGAGCCCCAGCTCCGTGTTGAGTGTGGAGCACGTGTCATCCTCTGTGGTCGTCGTTGTCGTTGTTGTCGTCGTTGTGGGCAAACTCTGCGGATCGCTGTACTGCTGCAGCAGCGGCCCACGCCGCGGTGGACTGTGACTCACAATGGCCCCAAAGTGCGTCTCCAGTGGCGCTGCCTCAGCCGTCGAGGGCAGTGCTGTGCCCTGGAACTGTTGCAGCGGCAATACGTGACCGGTTTGCGGTCCAATCAGCGACACACGATCGCTGGCAGCAGCGCTGATGCTTCTATGTCGCTGCAGCAACGGTCGACGTTGCGCCTGACTCAAGCGCTTCACCTGCGGCAGGGGATTTGCCTTCAGCTCGGCACTGCCCTGCACGGATGTGCCTTGCCCCTGTCCGTGTCCCTGTTCCGCTGCTGCCTCAATGACTGCCATGGCCACGGCCTGCTCCTCGCTGTCGCTGCTCAGCTGCTGCATATCGTCGTCGGTGTCTGCGGGACTCTCCAGCCCGAAGACAGAGTCCTCCTCGAGGGAGCGCAACTTCGAGTCGGGGCACTCCAGCGAGGAGATCTTGAAGGAACTTAGTGAGGCGAGTGGCGCACGCTTCTCGGGATTTCCATTGGCCGCATTCGGCGGCAACTTCGCAGAGACCGAAATGGTGCCCAGACTGAGGCTGCCATTCAAGCGATCCAAGCTGACGGGTGTGCTGTCCACGCTGATGCTGCTGGAGGTGGCAGCGGTCGTGCCTCCACCCGTGACTGGTGCCGCTGCATTGGCCGTGTACGGGAAGCTGTTGTTGTTGCTCTCATTCCGCTGCAGCTCCACGAGTGTCAGCTTGCGGCGCACACCCAGCCGCAGCTCCTCCGACGGCGAGTCACAGAAATGGAACGCCTGCTGTGCGCTCGCAGGCGGCGCCGATTGTATGGGCTTGGGCAGCGCCAGTCCCAAATCCACAGTGTCCGCCAGGGCCGCTTGGTTGTAGGGATAAACGTCCACGGTGTCCGCACTGATGGAGTGTATTTGCTGCTTGCGTCCAGCCTGCGCGCTGTCCGGATCGTAGGAGACAATGCTGTGCTTCCGCTTGATGCTGGGCGCACTCAGGCAGGAGCTGGCCTCGTGTATGCTGCGCTCCGAGGGACACGGCGAGGCCTTGGGCGTGGGCTGTATGACTTGGATGTCCGGATAGTAGTAGTCCCAATTCTCAATGCTCGATGTGCGCGAGGCAGTCGATAGTTTGCGCTGCAGCGTGGGCGGGAGGTTGCTCATGCCCAGCGTATAGGCGGAGGTGCGACGCTCCAGATAGGAGCTGTCCGTGCTGCAGCAGGTCATGGCACTGCTGCGACGTGAATCGTGACCCTGGCAGGGGCAGAAGAAAAACAAACAAGAGTTAGGCTCGTGCATTCCTTTGGGTTCTCTGCACTCACCGCCAGTGGCACAGACAGAAATCCCTGCTTGCTGCGCGTCGAGTCCGTGCGCTGATGAAGATGTTGGTGATCCTGCGGGTGCTCCATGTACTCCTCATGCTCCAGCTCATCCTCCGTCTCCACAAAGTAATCGTCGGTGCCAAAGCTGCCGCCCATCGGGTAATTGCTGAATATGCGCGATGATTCCGAGCCGCTCTTGCGGCGTCCTATGGGCCCCGGTGGACCACCGCCCGCGGACATGGCCGAGTAGGAGAAGCGTCGCGGTGGCTCCAGCAGATAGCTATAGCCCACGGGCACACCAGCACCCACACCACCTGCAAGCAAAGAGGATTCCCAATCAGTTGAAGCTGCCGCGAGGCAAACCCCTGGGGCACTTACCCACGGAACCACAACGATAGCCACGATTCAGCAGCGGTGGCGCACTCACATTGCCTAGGGAAAGCATCCTCTGGCGTCGATACACCATGGCATCGTACTCATCCGGGTAGATGGACATGCCCGTGGCCACTATGGCCTCCTGGATCTCGCGCTCCTCCTCCTCCTGCATGCACAGCGAGGCCACGGCCGCCATCTTCGGGTCTTTCAGCACCTTCAGCGTCTCGTTGCTGCTGCTGCGACTCTTCCACACGATGAGGAAGACCATCAGCCCGAAGAAACCGCCCAGCGTGGCGGCGATCCTCACGCCCGTCATCACGTCGTAGGTGGCAAAGAATTCCTCACGGATCCTGGCGCGCTCCGCGGCATTCTCCGCATCCGTCAGATTTCGTTCGCCCGGCGGCAGCAGTGGCATGTAGGGCGTGGCCGTGTTGTGGGCGGGTGCTGCTGTCGCGTTGCTCTCATTTCGTGTGGCAGTGTTGCTGTTGTTGTTGTGGCTGTTGCTGTTGCTGTGGCTGTGGCTGTTGGTGTGCGCCGCCGGTGTCGGTGGTGGAGGCGCTGCAGTCTCCTGTAGGAGAACATCGCCGCTCGTGTCAATGAGTGCCGCCGCCTGGGGCCTGCTTTGGTTGCTGCTTGTGGCACGGCGGCTGATGCGTTGTGGCAAGCCTGTGGCATGATTAGCAGGATGATGAGTAACTGTTGTTGTTGCTGTTGCTGTTGCGGCGCTGTCTGTGGCTGTTTTTCCTGTTGTTGGCGTTGCTGCAGACGACGAGGCACGTCGTGAAAGTTTTGCCATCTCTATTGAAACATTTTCTGCAATCGATAGAACAAAAATCGATAGGTGGGTGAGTAATCGGTTTTTAAATTTAATGAAACTTTACAAGGCGGTTCTTTCTTGAACCATTAAACGTTGATGAATTGTTAGGAAAAGAAATTTGTCCTAAAATATAATGCTCATACGCGCTTACTCCTTGAGTCACTTAATTATATTTTGTAAATGAAAGCTTTAATCGCCAACAATTAAGATTAATTATGACCCTTTTTAAAAGCGCTCAAAATTATGTACATAAGCAGATTGTAATGCAAGAGAATCTATTTATAGAAAAGCCTTTAATGGGAAGAAGCTAAATGTAATGCTAGTTAAATTTGAGTTAATTATGTATAAATGGAGCTGTCTAACATTTAAGGCACAATTAATTTCCATTGATTTGAATGTATTATAAGCTCAAAGGGAAACCCAAACCCAAACCCAAACCCCAATAAATACCAATACAAAGTCATATTTCAACGACCCCTAGGCAGGAGCAACCCCAATTACATTCAATTCCCAAACACTTTTCGCTCCTTCTGCTCCTTCTGCTCCTTCTGCTGTTCCCTGCTCTAACGATTTCCGTCCATCGCTTCAGCTTCTCCCATTTTTGTTGTTTCTCGTCACGGACTCCCGCCCACGCCCCACAGCAATTAAAACGCCATAAATTCATTCCACATTTCTTGGCGCATTCTTCGCCAGCGCCTCAAAGTTTTTAATTGTTTTCAGCTTTTGTTTACTCTTCGTCTTCGTTCTATGTAGAATTCCCTTTGGGGAAAATAACTTGGTGTATGAGTAAATTAAGGTACAAAGCAGACAGACATATGTACATATGGGAATATGCTAAAGGAAAGAAGTGTGTAATGTATCCATTTGCTTTTCCTTTTTCCGCTTTTTCGTGACTTTTCTTTCATCACTTGAACTCAGCTTCTTTCGTACATTTTTAGCTACAGTTTTTACATTTTTGGGCATTTTCCTTTGCCATTTGTACTATGCCCAAAGTGTTTCCTAAGTCAATTTGCCGAATTTCTCATTCTGACACATTTTTGAGCAATTTCCCAGAAGCGTCGCTGAACAAGGCGTGAATAAACAGACTAAAAATGCTTCAAAAATGTAAAAAAAAAATGTGCAAATTCCTACAAAAGATGCAACAAAGATGCCTTGGACAGTGCACAGCCTGTTGCCGTTGCACGTACATATCAGCACATTTGCCTCATTGTCCATTGTGTCATTGGGCAGTCAGTGTCCTTTATTTTCCCCTCTCCACCCACACGTAATTGTTCTTTTTTTTGCATTGAAAGTCGCGCAATTGTGGAGCTTCGCTCTGCTGCATTCTTCTAGCTCAGTTGTTCTTTTCTCTGCCACACAAAATGCTGTACATTTTTAATGCATTTTACATAGTTTTACATTTGCTGCATGTTTGGGCAATGCTTTGTTCCTGCCAAGGACATGTCCAGCCAGTCGGAGCCAAAATGATTATTGCAAAAGTTTTTGATTCCTCGTACCTCGGACTATCTCTCTCTCTCTCTCTCGCTGCTTGCTTTGTTCCTCATTGTCTGGCAGAAAGTTTTTAATGGCTATTATACCTTGGCCATAATTCGTGTCCAACTTTCGTGCGCATAATGAGCGAAAAAATGTAAAAATAAAATCCAATTTGCAGTCTAAGCAGTTTGAAGTGATTTTTAATGGTCTCCGGGTAGAGTTTTTCCTGGCAATTACTCGTGCAAATTTTCGTACCCCTAATGGCTGTTACTTTTTGCTTTTGTTTTGCCAAATTGTTGCTGAAAATAGGTAACAAGCGATTAAAGCAGGATTTTCGTTATATTACTTGCAAGTTTTCGATTTGTAACCAATCAAACAGCAAGGCAGAAATGGATTTAACTCAAAGATTGCCCAGAAATGAAGTAATGAAACGGAAACGCTGAGCAAAGTCCATGGAAAGCCCTGCCATTCACCAGGGAACAAAGTTATTGAATAAGTTGCAGCTTCCGTTGCGCAATATTTGAGGCAACAACTCGTGCATGTACATGCCCCAAAAAAGAGCGAAAACAGAGATAGAAAAACAGAGAGCGGACAAAGTGTTGAGGCTACGTTTGAGTTGTATTGATGGATCGGCACATTTGGGTATTGGGTTCAAAACCTGAACGGATAATTGCCAAAAAAAAAAGGAACAAACATGCACACATAGTCTACCATTGTCCGCTCGTTGACTGTGTATCGATGGCTGTGTGGGTGTGTGGGGTAAAATGAGCGGAAAATGGCTAACCAAACTGCTGGCTTGTTGCTCCGTGGTTCGTGGCTCGTTTCACTGTTGCAGCAATGATGAATGATGGTGGTTAGGCAGTGGACACACGCACAAACCTACAAAACATGCTGACAAGCGGCCTCCACTTGGACTTGGACGGTACACCCGTGCGTATGCGTATGCGTAATGTGTATGAGATATGGATGGATGGATGGAGCGTACAACAATTCATCATGCCCACGGCTTGGCTGCCCTATATACATTCTCCCACACTCGCTGCTGTTCCTGTCATATACATTTTTTGTTGCCTTTACCAAAACTTTGTACATACATAAATACATACATGTAAATGTAGTTGTGCATGTTTTATATGTAGAATACAACAATGCCTTTTGTCTGTCTCTCTGTGTGTGTGTGTTGCACATTTTTCTGAGGCTCAGGCCTCAACACAAAAGGAAAAACCATTCGTGTGGATTGAGGCGTACAGAAATAAAATACAGAAATAAATACACAGCAGCAGCACAGCTGTTGAAAATCAATTTGTATTTGGCAGTTTTCGGGCGTGAAGAAAGTTGCTTTTTAAATGGAATCAATATAAGTGCAAAGGTGTGGCCTGGAGCCCAATCTTTTGATGGGTTTTCCCTAGTTAAAAGACAGAGACACAAAGACAGGACATCAGCACCTAAGCGGCTTATGGAAATGAAATGCCAAACGAAAATATTCAACAAGAAAAATTTGCTGTGGCTGTTGGGTCTTTTTTGATTCGATTCTGCCAGCTTTATTCTTTTAATTAGCTAAAATGTTGAAAGAGCTGGACAGCTGAAGCAGTTCAGGCTTATTAGTGTCTGCTTTGTCTGTGGCAGACAATGGCCACAGACAGCGCCTTAGCCAGAGCCAAATTATGAGCACCTACAACTGCCAAGAGGCAGTGGGCTCGCCGTGCGCCATTTAACAAAGATTCCGTTAATCTGCTACACTTGGCAGCGCCATGGCCACGAGGCTGCCACAGACACACAGAGCCACAGAGCCACATCCGCTCCAGTGTCTCCTCTCTCTCTCCCACTGTGTATGGGTGTCCTCGTTTGTTACTGCTTATTGTTGTGCTTTTATTGTTATGGCCATGTTCTTTTTCTGCCTCCTCGTCTTCCCTTTGCTGCTGCTCCTCCTCTTGCCTCCTCCTCCTTCGAATGCGTCTGCTCAGGCTGCTGATGCGCCTTTTTGCTTTGGTTTGCTGGCTGCGAGGGTATGATGATTTTGGGTTGATGTTTGCAGCTAATTATCACAAATTTCAGTTAATTTAACAGTTGGATAAATACCAAGGAGCTTATGTTTAAATACATAACAAAATCATGCTAAAAAAGAACACAAAAAATATGTTCAAAAATGTAGAAAACTTTTACTTGGAATCGTAATATCTTCAGTTATATTAATCCCATCCCCAAACCTAAAAATTCCTGTTAAGACTCATACAATTTCCTTCACAATCCATCAATTCTTGTGGCTATTAGCGCTGCAATTGCCGCAGTAAAAATTATGACAGAGCGCAATGTCAGCAGTGCGGTTTTTTGAGGGTTTCACAAATATTTTGAGGACAGTTGGCAAATTCCAAGTATGAGGAGGAGTCGATCTACTCATTCAGCACCACAATCTATACTTTTCTTATCTTTCTAAGTTTAGTTCTTCTACGCAGCATCAATTTTCAAGGGTATCCAAAAGCTGCGACTTCGTTTTTTCTGCTGCTACATTTGGCGGCATTGTTTTGCTGCCCCCGAAAGACCTCTCTCTCTCTCTCTGTATGTTTTTTTTTGTCTTAAGTGTTAAGCGTTTTACGTTTATGATACCAAACTCAGACCACCCGCCAGGATACAGACCCAGACACAGACACAGACACAGACACAGAAATGAGCCCTGAAACCATGTGACCCCACGGGCCCACGGGCCACGCCTTCGCATGTTTATGTGTCGCTGGGAAAAACCCCTAAATGACTTTTGAATTGCATTTCTGTTTATTGCCACTCATTGGAGCACAAATGATGCACTTAAAGGCAATTTACAGACACTCTTCCCCCAGAACCGGAACTCTTCCCCTTGCGAAATGGACAGAAATTCGATTGCTTTTTGTGGCCTTAAATGTGTCACGTTTTGAATTTGTTCTACTTTTAATATTTGCTCAAATATTTACCAGCAATACGTGCCGGGCCTAAGCAAGGGGAAGATGACCTCGAAAGGCACCCTCGAAGAGGGGGGAACATCCCTTAGCAGCTGCTGCTGGAGTGACTTCAGCTAGGACGCTCACTGGACTTGTCCTTTGCCATTTGCTACGTTAATAATTGACTGTCAACTTGTATATTTATTGCTTAATCACTCGGAAGACCACAGATAATATTTTTGTTTGTTTTGCCTTTGTGGCCTGGCATTCGCTTTTGGGCCAAATGAAGTCAATTTGTAGTCAAAAGTCAAACAAAATCTGTGAGGCTTTGTGTGTGTGGAATACAATTGCCAAGACAAAGGGCTTAGGGAGAGCTTATAAGCTGCCAGCAGGAAAACGTAGCAGAGATGTAATAGAAATGTGAATTATATACGGGACGATGTGTGGATTAAAGGTGTTTAGAACACCGGGAAATTCCATTGAAAGTTGCCTCTAAAAGCTGCTACGAGAGAGCTGAAATTTAAGTGAAATTTTCCACTTATAAAAATTAGTTGAGTGACAATTCCCTCGCCCAAAAATCGACACTCAACGATTAGTTTGCGATTATTTCT